CTGTACAAAGCAGCCTGCTTTGTGGGTGTCTGTTTTTGTTCACTGTGTGTTCTTGTTCTGTGTTCTAAGAATAAAAGTAGTGCAGCCTTCCAGACAGAGTATTTCCTGTTTTTTTTAATCTAATTTCTCTGTTTGTATACTGTTAGGGTGACCAGATGTCCCAATTTTATAGGGACAGTCATGATATTTGGGACTTTTTCTTCTATAGGTGCCTATTACCCTTCACCCCCTGTTCCAATTTTTCACCCTTGCTATCTGGTCACCCTATATGCTGTGAAGATAACACTGACCCACGCCTTCCTCCTCCAACTCAGTGGATTTGCAGAAGAGACTCCTAGCAGCATCCCTTCACTCTGCTCAGAAACATAGGTTTCTGAGGGGCTCATGTTTTGTAGTGTGGATTCATCTCAGCTCTATCCCTCGCCGGGCTTCTAAAAAACCCACTGAGCTTTGACACAGGTTTAGAGAAGAGGGCGCATGCTGCATTGACAGACCTCTGATTCCCATTCCTTTACTCCCCTACAAGCTGCAGAATGGAAGGCCCTGAGTCTTTACTCAAACAAAACTCCCACCGAAGAACTTCATAACTGGATCTGGTGTGTTTGTAGTTGGTCTGGGTGGGGGAAAAGAAGATTGTGAAGGGGTTAATTTGGTTTTATCATCTCCATACTTCATGTACTAACTAGTGAAAAAGAAACAGAGAGAGTGCTTGCTGTTCCTGAGGCTGAAGTGAGGCATAGCCAGGGGATATTTCCTCACAAGTCTAACCAGCTGGTTATAGGAACATTTGCTGAAAGTCCATGGGATCTGAGTTACTGATGCCAAAATTGCTGTCCATAACAAATGTTTGCTGTAACCTCAGTTTTACAATCCTCCTTACTGTATTACAGAAATAACATTCCTACCCCGGCAACAAATCTAATGACAAGGAACGTAATCCAGAGAGAGTTCACTTGGCTAAATTCCCAGCTAACAAAACAACCGTGACATTCCAAAGGAAATAATGAAAAAAGGCAACGTTAACAAAGAAATACACATTCACTCAGCATTCAGATCTACTCTTGTTCTGGAATGTGTGCAGTCATATGGATTTAAAAAAGCACATTGAACATTGCAATACATGTCCTGTAAACAGAGCTCACGGGAGTCATGGCATGTACCAGGCATAAGGCTCCCCTTGGATAAGTGTCTTTTGGCCAGCTAGTGTGAGGCTCATTTGAAGTATCACTTTTGCTCTTTCCCATTCCTATCTACTCAGCCTTCCTTTCCTCTGTCTCAGAGCAAAACAGTCTCCCAGCTTGACCACTCCTTTAAATGCATGCACTGCAAACTGTCCCGTGCAAGAGAAAAAAAGTCCCTTTTGTCTTGTCAGAGGAAAACATGCATGTTCTTTAAAAAGCTTGGAAGATTATGCAAGACTCTTGTGCTGTGCTATCCCTTGGCTACCTGAGCACTCACCGATGAAGGAGAGAATCAGGATCTTGAAGGCTTCAGGGAGTAGGAAATGCAGCAGAAAGAGCAAAGCAAGAAGCGGCCCTCTCCCTCCAGCCATCATCCTGAAGCAAGCCACACCTCCAGAACACAAACAGGCAGACTTCCCTGGACCCCCTCGTAATGCTGCACTGCCAAACTGGAGTCAGGGAAGTAAATTATGCCGTGTGTGTGTGTGTGTGTGCGTGTGTGTGTGTGTGACAGGCAGAACGCAATCTCGCCCATAACCCATTCAATATCTCACTTGTGGTTTGCAAAACATGGAAGGCAGTAAGCAGCATGGAGTTAGTTTTACATGGAGTCTGCATAAATCCCAGCAATTGCTCCTGCTCTGAAATCTAAGAAAAGTTCCAACGCACTACGCTTTGTAAATAAGATCAGTTTAAGTCAAGCTTAGAACTAATATAACAAATAGAGCGAGCAATGTTGTGTACGTTTATTCTGAACAAGGACATGAAACAATGACCAAAACATGAATTCACAGTAGCCTTGTAAATGTGTAAAATATGTAGTGACTAGAAAAAAGATGGTAGGGAACAGACAGTGTATGTGCAATGCGTGAACAGCTCGTGATCTGTATAGAGATTGACAAAGAGTCCTGTGGCACCTTATAGACTGACAGACGTATTGGAGCATAAACTTTCATGGGTGAATACTCACTTCGTCTGATGCCACATGCATCTGATGAAGTGGGTATTCACCCACGAAAGCTTATGCTCCAATACATCTGTTAGTCTATAAGGTGCCACAAGACTCTGTCACTTTTTACAGATCCAGACTAACACGGCTACGCCTCTGATACTTGCATAGAGATTGATTCCCAGAAACTAACGAACCAGTGATAGATTGTGTGATACGATGTAGAACAGAAGGCACATGTTGCAGTTTGTTTTAGAATGGATGTATAAATTCCTTTATCAAGTGATCCATCCCCTGTCATCCACTGCCAACTTCTGGCAGTCATGTTTAGGGGCATACAAAGCATGGGGTTGCATCCCTGACCATCTTGGCTAAGAGCCATTGATGGACTTTTATCCTCCATGAACTTATCCTAATTCTTTTTTGAACCCAGTTATACTTTTGGCTATCAGAACATCTCCTGGCAACGAGTTCCACAGGTTAACTGTGTGTTGCAGATAAATCTCTGCATTAAGCATCTTCACGTAACTTTCATATGACTTTGTTTTATGCCTCTATTTTCATACAACTTTGTATCAGATCCTTATATAGAAAACTTTGCATTGAGCCTTGGTATAATGCATCCGAAGAAGTGAGGTTTTTACCCACGAAAGCTTATGCCCAAATAAATCTGTTAGTCTTTAAGGTGCCACCAGACTCCTTGTTGTTTTTGTTAAAAAAATGTCTTTTTGCTAGGAGTAGAATAAGATCTCCCCCCACACACTTTTAATCAATTGCCCTATTGAATGAACGAGGTGTGAATGAGTAAGGCGTGGAAGGCAAGCACCTCCAGACAGCTGCAACAGTTGGAGAGGGGATGGAAGCCAGACCCAAGAACAATAAAACTTGTCAAGCGGGCTCGCTAAAGAAGAGCAGACATATTGACGGCCTTGGGGGTTAGAAGCAAGCACCTTCTTTTGAAAACACCCTCTTTGAACAGCATTGGGACAACACCCAGAAAGAAGCAGCACAAAGGACAGATACAGATTTTGAATCTGGTATAGATTTGCATCAGAGGGAAGCTGCTATAAATGTGAGGTGTCTTGCAGAGGACCCTGGGTCTCGTCTTGTCAACATGGGAGCATCGATCCAGATCGGCAGAAGCCCGGCTCCACCCCTCCCCCATCTAACTCACCTGGCCAGTAAAGTTAAGGGGAGCAACTAATTGGTAACAACAACAAGACGGAGTATGCTTGTGTGTGTGTATGTGAGTGCATGAGTGTAATATATATCATATGCATATGATACAGTGTTGATTAATACATGTATTACCAATAAATGTGGCGCTTTGCCTTGTTCCCCCTGAAAAGATCCTGTGCAGTACTTTAAGTACAACAGTGTTGTGTGAAAAAGTACTTCTTTAGGTTAGTTTTAAACCTGCTGTGTATTAATTTCATTGGATGACCCCTAATTCTTGTGTTATGTGAAGGGGTAAATAACACTTACTTTCACCACACCATGCATGATTTTGTAGCTCCCCCTAGTCATTCCTTTTTGAATCTTAACAGTCCCAGTCTTTTTAATCTCTCCTCATATGGAAGCTGTTCCATACCCCTAATCATTTTTGATGCATTTTTTTATTACATTTTCCAATTCTAATACATCTTTTTTGAGATGGGACAACTAGAACTGCACATATTAATCAAAGTGTGGGTACCATGGATTTATATAGTGGCATTTTGATATTTTCTGTGTTATCTATCCCTTTCCAAATAGTTCCTAATATTCTGTTAGCTTTTTTTTTTTGACTGCTGCTGCACATAGAGCAGAAGTTTTCAGAGAACTAGCCACAATGTCTCCAAGATCTTTCTTGAGTGGTAAACAACTAATGTAGACCCCATCCTTTTGTATGTGTAGTTTGGAAAACATAATCCCATGTGCATTACTTTGCACTTATCAACACTGAATTTCATCTGAAATTTTGTTGCCCAGTCACCCAGTTTAGTGAGAACCCTTTGTAACTCTTCACGGAGAGCTTGGGACTTAATTATCTTAAGTAATTTTGATTATCTGCAAACTTTTCCACCTCACTGTTCAACTCCTTTTCCAGATCATTTATGAATATGTTGAACAGTACTGGTCCCAGTACAGATCCTTGGAGGGTCCCACTGTTTACCTCTCTTCATTGTGAAAAATGACCCTTTATTCCTGCTTTTTGTTTCCTATCTTTTAATCAGTTCATGATTTATGAGACCACCTTCCCCCATGTCCCATGACTGCTTGTTTTGCTTAAGTGCCTTTGGTGTGGGACTTTGTTAAAGGCTTTCTGAACGTCAAAGTACACCACATTGACTGGATCACCCTTGTTCACCCTCAAAGAAATCTAATAGATTGGTCGTGCACGAGTCTCCTTTAAAGAAGCCGTGTTTACGCTTCCCCCAACATGTTGTTTTCATCTTTGTATCTGATAATTCCGTTCTTTACTATAGTTTCAATCAGTGTGCCTGGCACTAAAGTTAGGCTTACCGGTCGGTAATTGCCAGGATCGCCTCTGGAGCCTTTCTAAAAAATTTACATTAGCTATCTGCCAGTCATCTGGTACAGAGGCTGATTTAAGCAATAGGTTATATAGCATAGTTATTAGTTCTGCAATTTCATATTGTATTTTCTTTTTTTCTTGGGTGAATACCATCTGGTCCTGGTGACTTATTACTGGTTAATTTAACTATTTGTTCCACAACCTCCTCTACTGACACCTCAATCTGGGACAGTTCCTCAGATTTGTCACCTAAAAAAAACGACTCAGGTGTGGGAATCTCCCTCACATCCTTTGCAGTGAGGACCAATGGAAAGAATTCATTTAGCTTGTCTGCAATGGCCTAGTCTTCCCAGAGTGCTCCTTTAAAACATCGATCATCTAGGAGCCCCACTGATTGTTTGGCAGGCTTTGTGCCACTGATGTGCTTAAAAACATTTTGCTGTTAGTTTTTGTATCTTTGGCTAGTTGCTTGTCAGATTATTTTTTGACCTGATTACCACATATACTCGTTCATAAACCGAATTTTTTTAGTAAAAAAGGGAAGCACCAGAGAAGGGGGTCGGCTTATGAACGGGTATAGAGAGGGAGAGGTGGGACACAGCCCCTCCCCCCAACAGAGGGGGCAAGGAGAGGCAGCACAGCCAGCAGAGACAGAAGGGAAGAGGCAGGGCCAGAGTCTCTCCACTTCTGGCCATGCTGCTCTCCCCTCAGCCTCCAAAGCAGCTGCAGCTCTGGGGCTGGCAGGCTGCAGCTGTGCCGCTCAGCCCCACAGAGCAGGCTGTGGCCACACCACCCGGGCGCCGTAGCACCCTAGCCTGGAGGGGTCAGCTGGTAGCTCAGTTGCTGTGACCTGTGGGCCCTGTGTGGGGGTGTTAAAATTTTGACATCCTAAAGGAAACTATATTTTTATTTGAAGAAATTGTAATCATGAATCCCCAGGAAATGCCCTGGACCAATGGTTTTTATAGTCATTGTAACAAAGATGCTCCAACGGTTTCATTGTCCAGAATTAATTATAGGAAAGAGCTCCATCATGCTGGGCATTATGATTGTGTATGGACCACCTTCTGTAAACACCTGCTCCTCCTGGGCTTGGTTTCCAAAATGTTTAGTTATGACTCTTGCAATGGAACAGTCGTAATTGAATCTATAATCTGTGAATTACCAGGAAGGGCTCCATGGGACACTGACTGGCCACAGAGCACAGTCTGAATCCAACTGTGGGTGGCACGAACCATGGAGCTGTCATTCCATTTGGTCAGCTCCCTCTCTACCCTTCACTGCCCTGCTTGTGTATTACAAATAGAGGGAGCAGAGAAGCCATGTTGGGCCATGATGTGGTTACAGTTGAACTGAGTGCAGTGTCATTACAGGCTTTGATTGTGGTACTCTGTTGTTCATGTGTCCATTTCCCCCATCCCGGGGAGCTATGGAAAGGACAACTAGCTGCTGCTAGCTACCAAGCGGTTCACTGGCTGATAAGCTGGCTCGTCCTTTTGCTCGAGCCACACTCATACTAAGAGTCCCCCTCTGAGGGCTGGCCCATATAAAAGGTTTTTGAGAGTACTACTTGTGGCTGCATACAGCTATTGAAATGAATCCTTTAGCTCAAGCCATAGCAGCACATGCACGTTAAAACTGAGGGTCCCTGAGTCAAGCTCTGCAGTTGGCCCAAGTGGGGTTGCCTATGTTTCCATTTAGATGCAGTGTGTTTTACACAGCGTTTAAAAAAAAGTCTCTACCTTCAGACAGTCTGGTCAGTGTGTCTTGTTTTGCAGAGGCCAAGGTGATGGGCTGCCCTGGAAGGCTTTGTGTCAGAGATGTTGAGATTGCTTCTCAAGGCTACTTTCCTCCTGCGTATGGGCCTCCATTAGGGTATATGTTTTTCCTCTGGTATTTTACTTGATGCTTTACATACATCCAG